AGCATCACAGAGCTGACATCTACTTCTGATGGGAGTCGGAGGGAAGCACATTCCCCCAATTACTTGCTTCTTGGTTTACACCAAAGCAAACAGGCACGGTCCTGATATGATCCACAAAGAAAATAAACAGCTGTGGTCTATCATTCGAATGTCTCTGAGATTCCCTGCATCATCCAGTGGAGTGCTTGCTCCATCCTTGGAGACTAAAACCTGATCTTGTAGAAAATACTATAAACTATCTCATGAAGAATTCTGTTTATGGATGGGAAGCCTGAGAAAGTCTGTAGAAAACATGTTGTCTCTGAGGAACATGAAAATTGAAAGCATTTCTGTGTGCCATCACCCCCACAAAACACAGGAGGACAGAAGAGCCATTCCAGAGTTCAGAGGAGTCAACAAATATTCGTTCAGCAAACACCCATTAAGCACCAGCCACGTGGGGAATCACTGCTGGGTGCTAGGGGGAGTACCAAGTTTAGATGCCTTTGTACAGCTTACAATTGTGGAACCCCTGTGGGTGAGTCTGGCTTCCCTCTCACTAATGGGGGTCATGGAATCACTAACAAGGGAATGAAATGGAGAAAAATCTCAGCAACTCAGGGTATAAGCACGGAGCTTAAAAAAGAAAAAGAAATCGAGTAGACTGAGAACATATATATTGGAAAACAAAAAACAGCACAATGAAACCAGTGGGCATTTTGTCACCTGGGTGGCACAGTGGATGGAGTGATGGACCTGGTATCTGGCCTACTCGAGTTCAAATCTGGCCTCAGACACTCACGAGGTGTATGACCACTTATCCTTTGTCTGCCTCAGTGACCTCATCAGTAAAATGGGGATAATAATAGCACCTACTCCCTCCCAGGGTTTGTGGTAAGGATAAAATGAGATCATATTTGTAAAGTTCTTTGCAAACCTTGAAGCTCTACAAAAATGCTAGCTGTTTTAGTCAGCCTTGGGTAGCAATCACCACTAGCGAAAAAAAAAAGACTTAAAAGGGAAAAGAAGAAAAAAAAACACGGGGAACAAGTAAACCAGAAACTATCTAAAGAATTTAAGTAGTTTCTACAGACACTTCTAATCAAATGTCCTGTGGATGATGTTTCAGCATGGCTGTTCCCCTTCTCTTTCCTTTCCTCTCTTCTTTTCCTTCCACCCCTGTTCCTTGTGACACTAGCTTGGAGCTCTCTCTTTCTCCAAAATTCATTATTTTGGTTTACCTATCTAATAGAGATATGGCAGGAAGGGGGGGAGAGGAGGACATATGGTCCACATCTTTTAAAGAGGCAGAATGTTCTCCTCTTTTGTGAGGTGCAAAAGTGTTTGATAACATAGCAAAGCTTTCAGGTTTGACTTGTAGGGTGCCAGCAACTTTGAACTCCATTAGCATTTGCCCTGCCCCTAAACTAAGCACAGCTGTTTCCTTTCTCCCAACTGCTTACCCTTGGGGCTTTTTTTTTTTTAAAGAAGAAGAAAAGACCACCCCCGAACAGAAAAGGCTTTCTATCTTCTCTCACTTGAAATCTGACAGCAAGTTTTCTAAGGAGAAGGAAAGTACAGAGGGTGCCCAAAAAAGGATGACAAGATGAGGGAGTGAACGTGGGAATGATATTATGATTTCTTTTCTCCTCCCATATGTGGGTTACTAGCCCCTCTTCTCCAAACTTTGGGGATTATGCTTAGAAGATGGAACGGGAAAATAATTATTTTCCTTCCTAATTTCTTAAGGCAGGAACAACATTAGACTTAGTAGTTCCTTATGGTTGAACTCCCTTTCTGAACCCTCATCTCAGCCACATGTTGGACTTCTGCCCAAACTGTGAGCTTGCTCGGAAAGGCCCCCCGAAACCACAGGGTGTAATGAATCAGATCGAGTGAAGACAAGGGCTAATATTCCCAACCAGTAGCGAAATTCCGTCGACAGGGGCCTTCAGGTGAGGGGCAACAGCTGGACGAAGAGGAAGAAGAAGAGGAAGAAGAAGAGGAGGTGACGAAGGCAGGGCCAGAGTGACTGAGTCCTGAGGAAGTTCCTGAGGAGAGTTTTGGCTCTTGTTCAAGGATAGATGGACTCAACCACACCAAGACAAGACCTAATTAGTAAAGGGAGATGGGGCTTGGATTCCGTGGTGATGAATATTAAAAGGCCACAGGGCACAGTAAAAAAAAAAATGTCCTCGCTTTGTAGCCGGAAGACTTGGGTTCAAATCTTGCCTGCCTCACTATCTTGGGCAAGTCATCTAAACTTTCCTCCTCCGTAAAGAGGGGTTAAGACAAATTGGCCTTTAAGATTCCTTCTAGGTCTAAATCTACAAGCCTCTGAACCAGTAAGCCTTACCATACTGAACATGACCCGTTCTTGCATTCCTCCTTCACCCGAGTCTCTGTGAAACTGACCTCAAACTCACCCTGCTGCCCCCCTCACACATGCACACCAAGCTTGGCTCCTTTACGTTTGGAAAAGGGGGAAAGGGGAAAAAGGCAGCCAATTAATTGGTGAAAGTCTCAAGGGAGAGGAAATGAAATGAAAAATCTAGTCTGGGTTATAAAAATAAGTATTTTTTCTCCTACTTGCAGGAGGCTCATTATATTAATTAAACATGATTACAGTGAGTGAGATGGGGGAGGGTTATTAAGTCTGGGACTGGGGTAAGTGTTCTCTCTTGTTGCCTGAGGCCCTGATGATCTTCAGATATTAATCTTTCAGAGCACTCAAATGCTGAAGAGATAAACACTTGAAATACAAAAAATGTTTTTCTCTGGAACAGACACTGTGACCCAATGGGGAAAGCAGGCACAGATAGACTAGAGGCCCCACGGTCTCTGCTCACCACAAAGCATCTATCCTTAAGATAATGGTCCCTCCCCAAGACAGAGTGAAGGAGACCAAGAGAAAGGGTGCTTAAACACCAGCCCTGGGCTGGGGGTGCGTTTGTTAGAAAGAGCAGTCAAACCCTCATTTCTTTTTTTCCCTAGACCTCTTCCACACTGCCGATGCCACCTGCCATGCTCTAGTTCAGGGGTCTGCATTCTCTTTTAGCTTTAAGTACCAAGGCAGACAAAGGCAAGGGGCAGCTATACATGAGGCCTGTTGGGACTACTGAAAGAAGAGAAAGCAAAAGAAGGAAAGAGTAAAACAAAAAGGAAGGAAGGAAAAAGCGAGAAAGAAAGAGGGAAAGAGTAGAAGAAAGGAAAGAAGGAAGGAAAAAGAAAGAAAGGAAGTAAGGAAAAAAAGAGAAAGATTTTCCTAACTTCAAAGAGATATATTCTACTGGGCATTAACAGCTATATCCTACAGAGGCCTAACGCAAGAAAGCAAGGGGGAACAAGGGAAGAAAGCAGAAGGCAAAAAGAGTCAGAGGGAAAGGAAAGAAAGAGAGAGAGAAGAGGGGAAAAAAAGGAGGGGCCAGCTATAGAAAACGATTCTTAACCTGGGGTCAATAAGCCCCAAGATATGGATATTATGTATCCATTATGTATCTAATCCAGTATGTGGCTAGATTTCAAGAGGTCTATGAACTTGGATGGGAAAAAATTATATCTTTATTTCAATATAATTATTTTCCTTTGTAATCCTAGGTATTTTATTTTATGCATTTAAAAACATTATCTGAAAAGAGGACCAGAGGCTTCACCAGATTTCCCAAGGGGTCTGTGACATACAGAAAAGGTTAGGAACCCCTCCAACACAGAGGGACCCCTCACAGTGGTTGTGTCCATCTCTAGTTCCATTCCCTCAACAGCCTCTTTCTCTGTTCTAGTTACAAGTCAATCCACCTCCCCCCACCCCCACCCCCAATTTTTCCGTCTTTCTTCCTCTTGCCCCTTTCCCACTTTAACCCTCATGTTTTCCTGGGCCCCATATCTCTCCCTAGTGTGGGCTCCAGCCACTTTCCTATGTTTCTGCCTGTGTAGTAGCATCCCAGGTGCTTTCTGTGTCTATGGCCTAGTTGCGACCCAAAGAAGCTGATGCCCATCTAACCAAAAGACCAGAAAGCAAGGCCAAGAGGAGGAGGAGGAAAAAAGACGCATCTGTAAAAGCTGCCTTTCAAAATTAAAAAAAAAAAGACAGAAAGGCTTAATAATGTTTCATGGAACAACAATGGTCTTATGAAGGCAAATTACTGAACCACTTTGCTAGACACAGTAGTTATTAGAGCATTTCAGTCCAACCCACTCTTTCCCCCATCAGTTTGCCACAGAAACAAGAGTAACCTTAGAGCAATCTCTGTCAGCCTGGAGGGCACCATTCACTAAAGGGGTCAGGGGCCATTTTTAAGGGGTTAAGGAGTTTGAAGGGACTTGCAAAGCTGTCATGTGTTGGCAGTGGGAACCTGCCGGCTACATTCCATAGTGGATCTGGCTCCTTTTGCCTCCTGAACCATCCCTGTACCCCTCCTTCCTTCCTTCCTGCCTTCCTTCCTCCTTCCCTCCCTCCCTCGTTCCTTCCTTCCTTCTTTCCTTTCCTCCTTACTTTATTCCCTCCCTCCTTCCCTAATTTCTTCCTTACCTCCCTCCTTCCCTCTTTCCTTCCTCTCTCCCCCTTCTTTCCTTCCTTCCTCCCTCCTTCTTTCCTTCCCTCCTGCCTTTCTTCTTCCCTCCCTACCTCCTTCCTCCCTTCTATACCTCCCTCCTTTCTTTCTCCCTTCCCTCCTCCTTCCTCCCTCCCTCCTTCCCTTCCTTCCTTCCTTCCTTCCTTCCTTCCTTCCTTCCTTCCTTCCTTCCTTCCTTCCTTCCTTCCTTCCTCCTTCCCTCCCTCTCTCCCTTTGTTTTTTCCTCCTCTCATCTGTCCAGCTTTCCAGTTGTTCTGTAACCCCAAGCATGAGCTGGGGGAGTCTGAGGTGAGGGGCCAGGGACCACCTGGTAATTTTTCATGGAGACTGGAGGCAAGGGGTGGATATGGGACCTTATACGATAATAACCTTAGACTGAAATATTTGGAGGCCCCCTCATCATGGCCTCCTCTCCCTCCTTCTCCATCCTTAATTCCAAGTCAGGCTTACCTGGAGAAGCGCTATCAATGGGACTTGAGCTTCCTGTCCAGGTGCTTGTAAGCCACTTCTCATGGTCATACAGCCAACCACAGCTTTCCTCCATGAAATCAAAGTTGCAATTGAAGCCTGGCGGAAGCTGAAAATCTTTGTCTAAGAGAGAAAGATAAACCAAAGGAAGAAAGATGACATGAGGTTCCTAGAACAGCCATGGCAGTGCTGTTTAAACAGTGGGTGAGTCCTAAGTGGAGAGGAGAGAGAAAAATCATTCATTAACTGGTCCTGGGGATCATCAGCCCTCCAGAGCAGCCCTGGGTCCTGTCCTTCCCAGGACTGGGTGCCAAATCTGTCACTAGTTCCCATGGTAAGTAAATGTAAATGAGGGCCCCAAATGCCTCCCTCCTGTCCATGTCCAAAAGCAGACAAATGCTCAAATCTCTCCTCTCCTAACTACCAGAGAATGACTCCCTAGTGTCTCAGTGGCAGTCTGGCTCTCCCAAGGTATTATCTCAACTCCTGCCAACCTGGCTCTAATAAGTGATGGAGCAGGCCATTAGCACCAGGAGAGCTGAAGATGTTTGCCCTCGAGGAAGGGAGCATCAGGGAGAAAGTGATCTCATGGAGGAAGGAAATGGGGAAGTTCTTGTTTACCGCCCTTTGGCAAATGTCTAACTGTAGAAAGCCAGAGCAGAGAGCTTCTTATCCCTGCACAGGAAGGGCAGCTTGGCACAATAAGGAAGTTGTGAATTCTACAGCAGCAGCAGCAGCAGCAGCAGCAGCAGCAGCAGCAAAAATACTGCAGCTGTTTAACAAAAGGGGAGGGGGGCAGGGGGAAGAAGATCTACAGTTTAAAAAAAAAGTGTTGGAGCAGCCAGAGGTTGGATTTAGGATGATAGCCCGCCAGAAGACAAACACTATGAGTGAGATGAGCCAGGGGCTGGTGGGTTGAGTGATAGAGCACAGAATCAAAGAGGTAGAATCAGCACCGGCCCTGAAGTCAGGAAGACCTGAGTTCAAATGTGACCTCAGACCAAACACTTGACACTTACTAGCTGTGTGACCCTGGGCAAGTCACTTAACCCCAACTGCCAAAAAAAAAAGAGGTAGAATCAGAAGAGAGCTCAAAGGCTAGTTCAACCCCTTCATTTTACAGATGAGGAAACTGAGGCTCATTGAGGTTCACTGATTTGCCCAAGAACAGTGTCAGAAGTTGGATTTGAGCCTAAGTCCTGAACCTCCAAGTACTGCACCAAGCTGTCTCCCCAAAAGGACCAGCAAATCCTCTGTCCTGTATTATTTAATCATCTGCCTGCCTAAAAGCAGGAGAATGGACTCAATGGTCTCTTGAAGTCTTCTTAATAAATAGGTGGGAGAAACATGACAGGGTGAGAGCAGGAGAGAGGAAAAGCTGAAGTTAGTGCCTCGCCTGGTCTAGTCGAGTTACAAAGAAAGAGCAAAGCCTGGGGAGGAAATGAGATGGTGGGGAAGAAATGAGATGGTGGGGAAGGGAACTTAGAAAGCCAGAGAGGCAAAGCTCTCAAGAAAGGCACAGTTATAGGGGGGCCTAAAATGAATAGCTTATTGAAAGGAATTCCTCTGCCATGATGGGGTGGGGTGGGGGTGCTAGGAATCGTGTCAGACGGAAAATGTCACTGCTGGTCCCAGTGACAGAAGGTAGATGGTGACCACAACTCATTTGCAACTTTTCCCTCCAAAAATAGGATCCTTAAGGCCGGCTCTCCCTGTGGCCAAAGTTAGTGTTAGTTGGAAAGTAACACATGGCAATCATTAGGGAGGCAGCAACCTGTGGTTTGGAAGAGACAGCCCATGCTCTGCATTGCCCCACCCCTCAGCCCCCTTTCAATTTCTATAACTTCTTTTTTTGCTTTCAAAATAGAGAGTAATTCAATATACTGTAATTCGCCTCCAATGTCTGTGTGTATCCGCAGTACATCCAGAAGAAAAGCCCATATATGGACCTTTTGCAAAAAGAGAGGGGAGAAACCCTCAAAGACAAACACATCAGAAAACTCTGCAATTATATTAATCATAGATTTCTGAAATTCAGCTGCAGCATTCTTGAAATGTCCTTCTGATTGTCATTTAGATAGATAGCACCTCTCAAAACAAGCTCACTCTACTAATCCAATGCTGCATATTAATTCACTATGCCTTTCACTTTGGGCTCTTGAGCCACCCTAAACATACCCTGGGAGATTCCCTAAATCTCCCTCTCTTCTCAACAAAGCACACATAAAAACTAAAGTTCATTAATATGCCAGAACTCCTGGCCAATAACTTCCCTCCTTCTCCCACCAAAAAACCCCCCCAAAAAACATAAACAAAAGTGCATTCCCCAAAGCATGTGCATTAAATTATCATTTTCAGTCACACAACTTCAGCATTTATTGTTGGCGTCTTTCCCATCCTTCTTTGATCCTTTCCTTTTTTTTTTTTTTAAAGTCCGGTTGATCAGAGCAGTATCTCCTACTGTCCAAAGGCTGAGCTAACAGAATCAGGAGATTTCATAATCCTCCTACTAAGCTTATAAAACATCTTTACGTCTCCATCACTTCCCAAGTCCCTGCTCCAATCTTCCCTCATTTCATTTAATGAACATTTAGTAATGATCAGTAATTTACTGTAAATTGAGGCTGTCAAAGCTTTAAATTCTAGCCAAAAATGCCAGATGTTCCAAAATTTGTGGTTTATTAGGAATGTCCTCAAGCTTAGTGACCTTATGCGTATGATTTAAAACGTGTCTCATTTCCAGGCTCTGCCAATTACTGTCTTTAAGTGAGACATACTCAGAAGACCCCAAAATGGAACATAAATTCTCCGTGTGAACTGTCAGGTCCAAAAATAGATGATCCCTTCTTTTTGAAGAAAAAAAACACTTGGGGGTGCTTTTTCAAATCTCTGCCTCTGTTTTTCTGACTTCAGTTATTTTTGATAAATAAACACACATGAAATTGTTGGGAGAATCAGATCAGACCACTTTCTCCTAGAATCAATGCCACTGTGGTTTCTTCAGTCAGAGTCTATGATATAAAGTGAAGTGGGCACTAGGCAAGCACCTAGTTAATTTAACCAATAGTGGAATTACCACCTTTGCACCCCCTTGTCTATCTCTAAAATAATGAGTTTGGTTTCTCTTGTTGCTGAGTGGATTAGCTGGAAAAAAATAGATCAGGATTATTTGTGGAATCCAACTGTGAAAATGGCGTTGCTTGAACTGGTGGGATGAGCAGGTGGGAACTCTGAAAACTGGGACTTCTCTCAGGATAGAAGTCATCAGGTATTGGCCCCAACCTTGGGCACTTACCATCTTCAGCACTACAGTTTTCACCACAGTCTGTGGTCTCCTCATCTGTAGGATACTGGGTAGTTGTCTCTTCATTCTTCAAAGTCGGTCTTAGGGTCTCTACCGTGGGCCTTGTGTCTGTGGGAAGAAAATACAAGAGGAATGAAGGTTTAGTTGTCCTGCTGATGGGGGAAGCTGATGAGAAAGTGTCTTCACTAGCAGGATTAGGTGCATAATTTGAGTCATTTCTAAGGTTTATTTGATACATGAAATCAATCAGTTAACAAGTATATATTGAGTGCTCAGTATGTGCCAGATGTAGGCCTTGATGACACAAAGACAAAAGAAAAAGTCCCTGCCTTTAAGGAACTTATGTCTTTTTAGGGGAGACCATGTGTGTATCCAAGTATTTACCTAAGTATCAGAAGGTAATTGTGGGGAGAAAGTACTAGCAGCTGCAGGGAAAGGGAAAGGCCTCATGCAGAAGGTGACATGAGCTTAGCTTTGAAGAGAATTAGGGATTCTAAGAGGTGGTGCATCAGGCATGGGAGACAGACTGTATAAAGGCACAGAGATGAGAGATGGAGTGTTGTATATGAGGAATGGCAAGAATGTCACTTCAGTTGGCTAGCAGAGCCCACGAAGGGGAGCGACATATGGTAATGAGTATGTGCTAGACTGTACGTTCTGGAAGTGCAGGGGTTATAGCTTAACTGTGTATCACTCTCAGTACATTGCACGTATTAGGTCCTCAATAAACATTTGTTGAATTAGATGTTTTGGGGTATGAAGTAACAAAATTGTTTCACCCGCTGAATGAAAAGCTTCTTGTGGGCATATACAGTAATCCTCCCCTTGCCCCCCATTTACTGAGAAGTCAGAACCTGACAACCCCCACTACGACCCAGAACTCAGCTTAGAATTCTAAAGAGCTGAGGGTCTTTGACCTGGGAAAATAGTTTTCACAAAATGCTTAAAACAATTCCTGTCACTATTTAGTTCTTATTAACTGCTTTTTCACCCATTCATGTTTTTCCATTCATTTTGCTCTATGGAGAGGCCAATCACTCAGGGCTAAACAATATAATAAATGCTTACGATAATGACCCTAAGTCATGAAGACTGTCTAAGAAGGCAGGTAAGGATGTAAAATGCATATATTTTAAAAGAGTTCTATCTAAATGGCAAAAAAAGTTTTGTTGCTAAATACATCAAGCTTCAATTATGCTAAAAATTCATCTTAGTAATTTATTTTTTTTTAAAAACCATTTACTTGCTGCCAGTTATGTGCAAGGCACTGTACCAGGGAGGCTATAGGGATATACTAAGCTTATAATCTAATAGAAGACATATGACATGCTCACATAACCATAATACAAAATGGAATATGCACATAAGAGATAATAAAACAACTGAAAACAGAGTTCATAGAAGGGAAATATCACTTCTGACAGGGGACATCCCAGAAGGCTTCATGGAAGAGGTGGGCATGTGACCTAGCCCAGGGATGGCCACATGTGGTCTCGAGGCGGCAGGTTCCCCACCCCTGAGTCGTAGCCCTTGAAGGATAAGTGGGATTTTAATAGGCAGAGATGTTGGGTAAGGGCACATCCCAGGAATAGAGAACAGGGTAAGCAAAGGCATGGCAGTAGGAAATTTCAGATTTGGTTGACTTCGGAGTATGTATTTGGAAGTAATGTGAAATAACACTGGAAAGGTAGAGTGAAGCCAGATTCTAGAAGGTCTTAAAGCCACACTGAAGAGTTTGGACTCTTTTTTGGTAGCAACAGGGAATCTTGAATGTTTTTTTGAGCAGAGGCTTGACATCAATGCTGTGAAGGGATGAGAACAGTGGGTAGGACAGATTGGTGAGGCTGAAGACTGGGGAGAAAGAGAAGAGATTACTAAGGAGGCTGGTGTCATAATCCAAATGAAAGGAAGAGCCATGATTAGGAATACCAGCATCTGGGATAAATTGATTTGTGTGGAGGATAGGGGAACCATTCCTAAGAAAATCTAGTCTATGTCCCTTCAGGAGGCTGGGGATGGGGAAGAAGGGAGAGAAAGTTGTCAGTTCTATGAGAAATAATCTGACTGCAGGTATAGTAATGGTAGGAGAGACACAACCCATCACCTTCCTTTTCTATCCAAAATCTGATAGGCCAAGTCCTCATCACCTTTCCCTCTCTTAGGCCAGATTGTCTACCTCCCCGACCCTTATTGGAGAAGGTCTATAAGGTCTAAGTGTAGTGGTCTCTGGAGCACAGTGTGTAGGAACTAGGTCACTTAGATGTTAGCACCTGGGGCATAGCACCTTGTCCTGGTTACAGATCTAAGGAAAAGTAATAAAAATCTGGAAGAGGGGTGGTGAGAGTTATTGCAGGTGAAGAATCGATAATACCTGGCTGCTGGCTGGGTCTGGGGCTGGAAGAAAGAGACATCTATCTGCGTGACTAGAAAAATAGTGGTGCCATGGAGAGAAGAGAAGCAGAATTGGGGTTTGTTTTTTAAATAATTTTTTCTAAATTCTGAACTTAACCAACACCAAATAAAAACAAGCTTTTCTATAGACAAAGTAGGACAGAAAAAGTGGATTCTACATGAAGCTGAGAATCTCTGTTATGTAAAACTTGCTTTTCCTTTTAAGCATATGCAAATTGGACATGTAACTTTCAGAGAGGAAAGATGAGGAGTTCACACTTAGACGTCAGTGTAACCGAGCCCATGCCAGATAGATGTGGCTCAGTGATAGATCTCTTCCCTTCTGGGAAACCCACTTTCATAACAAGCAGGATTTCCCTTACTTGATCTTCTCTGTATGGATAATGAATATTTCCTGAACCACACAAAGGAGATTCTGTGTCTGTGTAACATATATGTATATATATGTGTGTGTGTGTGTGTGTGTGTGTGTGTGTGTGTGTGTATGCAGCTAGGTGGTGCAGTGGATAGAGTGCCAGGCCTGGAGACAAGAAGACTCATCCTTGTGAATTCAAATCTGGCCTCAGACACCTACTAGCTGTGTGACCCGGGGCAAGTCACTTAACACTGTTTGCCTCAGTTTCCTTATCTGTTAAATGAGCTGGAGAAGGCAATGGCAAACCAGTCCAGTATTTTTGCCAAGAAAACCCCCAAATGGGGTCACGAAGAGTTGGACATGACTGAAACAACTGAATAATAACAATAAATATATGTCTCTCTGTGTGTATCTATTATCTGTATATAGATATATACACAACATATACCTACCCACCCACTCACACATGTTCCTGGCAAAGGAGTTTCTTTTTTTAAAAAAGTATATATATGTACATATATACACACATACACACATATATATGTGCACATATGTATATGTATGTATATACATATACACACATGTATGTGTTTCACCAATTGGATCCATCTCTAATACTACAAATGTCAAAGTCATAAATAAATCCAGACAACCTGTGCCTGCCCTGACTTAACCAGGGTGCCACAAGATGTGTGGACTGGCCTATAGGTTTAAAGGGACAGAGTGTCCTCTTTTTGGGAACCTCCTTGGAAGCTAGTGACAAAGATAATGGAGAGCTACATCATTATTTAGAAGGTAAACTCCTTGAGCACAGGGAATGAATTATTTCTCTCTTTTTATGCCTAGCCTGGCAAGCAGTAGGTGCTGAATAAACACTCGTGGATTAATTAAAGAGGGGCTCTTGCAACAAAGGGTTGTGATATGGTATCTTCATACAGGAGCTGGCTCAGGGTTTGGCAAGTGGAACCCTGGGCATTCCTCCCATTTCTATGAAGGCTCCTTTGCTCTATTATTTGGGATTAATAATAACAACTGGCATTTATGTGACACTTTAAGGTTTGCAAACATGTTAATATCTCACTTAATTTTCAAAGCAACCCTGTGAGGTAGGTAAGGGAAGCAGTTTAGGTAGTGGATAGAGCATCTGACCTGGAATCAGGATAAACTTGAATTCAAATCCCCATCCCCCTCCATTGCTGTGTGATCCTGGACAAGTCACCTAACCTTTGTCCGCCTCAGCTTCATCATCTATAAAATGAAGATTAAAAATAGTACCTAATTCTTAGAGCTGTGAGGACCAAATGAAATGTTTGTAAAGCACTTTGCAAACCTTAAAATGTTCTCTCTTTGTGTCTGTCTGTCTGTCTGTCTGTCTCTCTCTCTCTGTCTTTCTCCACACACAAATTTTACCTGTTTGACAGATGAGGACACTGAGGTCGACAGAAGGTAAATGACTTGCCCAGGGTCACACAGCTAGTAAGTTTCTGAGGCAAGATTTGAGCTCAGGGCTTCCTGACTATAAATCTAGCTAGCTGTCTATCCACCTAGCTACTTATGTCCTGATCCTTTGTCAAACATCCTTCAGGATATCATTTAATAAATGCTAGGAGCTGAAATAAATCACTAAATACTTGGAATAGTTTTTCATGCTTGGCTTCCCCCTCTTTCAGTTGTTAATGCCAGGCACATAAACCTTCATGTTTTCCTTTTCAGCATTTGCCTCTTGCTCACAGCAAATACCAAATAACCTCAAAGCTTTCTCATTTGCAAGCTCAAATTTGTTACCATGTCATAAAACCTCAGACTGGGTCTTGAAGAAAAAAGGCAATAAATAGTTTTATTTAAAAAAAAACAACAGGTGAAAGTGATGTGTCCAATAACCTGTCCCCAGCTTAGCCTCAGGCATTTTCTGATTGGTTACCATTTGCAGGGTGGGGTGAGAGGACAATCAATGAGCACTGTAATTTAGGGCAGAGTGACAGCACTGGGGGAGGGGGAGGGGAGAAGGGGGAACAGACCACATGGGCCAGGGAAACAGATCCCCAAAATAGTTAAGAGAGCCAAATGTGTAGAAATGGTTGGAATAGATCATGGGAAAAAAAGGGGTGGGGTGGGGTCATGGTTTGTGGTTGTGAAAAGGAAAGAGAGGATGGTCAGGTTCTCTTGTCCACTGTTCCAACCACTGTCTGGTGTCTGTCCCATCTGGGGACTTTAAGGGAGCAACTGCCCGTCAAACTGTGATGTTGTTGAACAATTGAAACCATATGTGTATAACTTCAAAGTCAGGAGAGTGGTCATAGGCTAAGGCTTTTCCTGTTGTGATCTTCTGAGGAAGGAGGTCGGCAGGGCTTTGAAATCAGAAGCTTGTCGCTGACCAGTCACCAATGTGATTGGGGAGGTGGGGGGAGGAGGGATGGGGTGGGAAGAGTAGGGGGGAAGGACGGGGACCACTTGCCATTGGGCAGCTGGTTGTAAACAGGGTTTCTGCTCCAAGATGTGTGAGCGTCTTCCTGCCCAGCTCCATCAATGAAGTCATCATGTGTCAACAGGAAAGATTCTATTTTAAACACATGAAAACTAGTACCGGAGAGCAGAGGGCTTGGAGGTGGGGCCACCAGGTGGACTCATCTCCACTGCCTCTGACATTTAGGGATATCTATTCCCAAGGGAAATGATTCTCCTTTAATTTGAGGGCAAGAGATGATAACACAAAGCCTGATATCTATCCTGGGTATTTTTTTTAGGCTTTTCCCACTGAAGAAGCCTGATATTTTATGCAATACTTTTCTCCCTAGTTGTTGAAAACATTTCACTCAGCCTTCCCAACATCCCTACTAGGGTAGCAGGGGACAGGAAAATTAAGGCATCGAGGTACCTAGCAGAGAGTGCATAATGGGAAAGTATAGGCCTGACCATACTCTGTGTCCTGACAGCACCTGGAATCCTCTTAGCCTCAGAGAGTTGTAACTTAAACCATCCCCCTGCTCTTGCTGGCTTGAGCTCCTTTTGGCAGATTAGGAGAGAGGAGAGCTTAAGATGTAGTGCCAGCCATGGGGATCTGGGTGGGGCCAGAGCTCAAAGGAAAGGAGGGGATGGGTATGCTTGCTCCCCCAGACAACTTGACTAGTAGCTCTCAGTATGCCTCCTCCTCCTCCTCTCATTAGTGTGAATTAAAGAGCTCGCCTCTGTCTGGGGCTACCACAGAGCCGAGGAGATGAGCAAGGTCCCAGCCACAAGCCGGGGCTTAGCCACAACAGGAAACTTCAACCAGCAAATGCACTTTACAGATGTGGCTTCTAAATGAAAATGAAGGCTCTTTACCACTGACATCTGGAGGCCAGATTCAGACTTAAACAGATTACTTTATTATTATGAGGTGGTTTCTTCCCTACTCCCTCTCCTTTTCTAAATCAACAGGAACAGCCCTCTAGCCTGAAGAGTCAAGATGTAATTGAATTGGGATGGGTGGTGGGCTGTTGTTATTTGTTTTCAAGACTCCCAGAAAAATCTTGCTGAACCTGTGACTCAATGCCTGAAACACGAGGCCCACAGAATGGCCCAATGGCACCTCCACTCTTGGCCGAGGCACAAAACGCTCCATATTGCATCAGGCTTGGTTGATAAGGTAGTTAGTTTTGTTGAACTATTAATTTCCTCTCGTTTATTTTTTTTTCTGAAGGATGGCTCCCTGGGAGGCAGAGGGTAAGAGAATATACTAGGAAATGAAGCTGATCTAAAAACAAAGGATAGCAATAAAAATTTAGTTTTCAAAATTGGCTAGTCTACAGATGGACTTTAGGCTTTTAGTCTGATAGGATTTTAATCCAGGGGTGAATGCCCTCCATCTTTCCCCAGCCCAGGTCAAAGAGTGAACCTTTCTCTCCCAGGGCAGTCTTGGGGAAGACTGAACTTTAGCAAACCTGATTGGAGATGAGTTAAAAAGATGCAGGGACCTTACCTGTCCAGTCACATCCCAGAATCTCCAGGCGCATCCCAATGCCAGCTGGCGACCACCTTTCTGGATACACCCGAACATACTGGGCAGGGACGGGGTCAAACCTTCGGATGTCTGGAGTGTCGTAATGCATGTTCCCTTCAAAGAGCTGCAGACACAGTAGAGGCAATTTGACTTCTCCTCAGGTGCTTCAGACTCCCTCCTCCCATACCCAGCCTGGTGCAGGTATAGAATGATGTTCTCGGAGATTGACGTTCCATGGAGGCCAATCATTAGGTCATGTAGTCAAAGGACCGTAATTATTATGGGACAATACATGGAAGATAGATTAGACTCTATACCCCTTAATAAAAGGATTTGTTCTGTGAAGTCTGGATTCAGTCAAAGGGCCGCACTTGAGGACCCAGAGGGCTGGCCTTGAGGCTACAGGTTCCCCACCCCTGCCTTAGAGAAACTTGTACAGATCAGTAAATCGAGGCCCAGGGATTTTAAGTGACTTATGCACACAAGTCTAGAGCTAGAAGGGCAGATGCTCTCATTTTATAGATGAAGAGACTGAAGCCCAGGGAGGTTGTGGCTTGCCCAAGGTCACAGGTAGTAAGCATCGAAGGAGGGTTTAAATCCAGGTCCTCAGATAACACTCAGTGCTTTTTCTACAATGCCACACTTTTCTTTCATTTACATAGAGACAACGGGGCAGGTGAAACTTAACACTTTGAGAGACACTCTGTGGACCTGGGGTATCCTAGAGGTGTGGGGAGTCATGAGCTTCCACATCGTTGACATTGGTGCAGAATTAGGGCACTCCAGCAAGCCTCTCAGACCTCTTAGGATGCAAGGAGCTTAAGAAATATCCAATATACACATCAGAGACTGAATAAATCTCATGCTGAAATTTGCTGGAGGGAATAAAAGTGACTTGGGCATGGCCTGACTGCTTGAGAGTTCTTTATATATTGAAAATGGGTTATCTCCTCTAATGTTCATTAGCCAAACTAACCACAATTCCTTTGTGCAAGAGATCATAGGCACTGAGTTAGAAGGAATCTTAGCAGGCATCCAACCTGCCCTGCCCTGCCCTGCCCAGCTCCTTTACATATGAAAGAACCTGAGGCCATAACAAGTTGACTTTCCCAGAGGCATTCAGGTAGTAAGAAACAGTCAGCATTTGAACTCAGGTTCTCGGATGCCAAATCCAGGCCTTTTTTCACTCTACCCCCTAGCCTCCTATGAAAACTAGCTTTGAGAGCATATCCTTTGTAACTATGCTGACATCCCGGGCAAAGAGGAGTTTGCCCATTTTGTTGGGATTGCTACTGAGGGGACAGGATGGGAAAGGGGAAAGGGAAGGTGAAAGGTAGGTGTGGGTGTTTTTTTATCTCCTTTGCCCTTTGAGAGGTATCAATCTATGTGCATTGCTGGCATATTCAAGCACCTGGAATACATTTATATCTCCCCCTTTTCTTTTTTCAGGAACAGATCGCCTCTGTGGGTCTTGAGAACTTACTCCCAGATGGAGGAAGTTGGCCACTTTCTCTGTTCACAAGGAAGAGTCTAACTATAGCTAAAATCATCTCAATGCCCATGTCTACAGAGAGGCCCAGGAGAAGCTGTGGTCAGTCCTTTTCTAGCAATGCTTGAAGCTTGTGGTAGACAGCTTGTGATGGTTTGGGTTGCCAACCCATAAATTCCGTCAAGATCCGGGAGTTACGAGTTTGGAATTTACATCAGTGTTCTCAAACCTCCACTCCACCCCTGGCTTCAGTTTTGGGAATGGAAATATTCGCAAAGCAGAGGAAGCTGAATGCAGACCTGCTCTCCCCTTTCTTTCTTGGGGCCCTTAATTTTCTAAGGGGTGTAAAAGGCAACTTTAAAAGAATCTTAGACCAAACTGACTAGCCAGCTCAAAGGGCAAATGAGATAAATGTTCTCTGCCTCCCGAAAGAGAGATCTTATTTTAGTAGCTCACCACCAAGGCCTGTCCTTTCCACCTTGAGAATAAAGCCTGACCTTCATGTCTCAGAGGCAAAAAAGCACGAGATTTGTGACCCTGACTTCCAGTCCAGATGAAATTTGTCTTTGGAAGACTGTTTGACCATCTACCTTGATAAAGGAATGGTAGAGATAGAACCAGTCAGGACCACCAGGGGGATGGGAAGAGGTGTACTAACTAAATGGAGGCATCTAGGTGGCATAGTGGATAGAGAGTCAGGAAGACCTGAGTTCAAATTTGACCTCAGACACTTACTAGCTGTGTGACCCTGGGCAAGTCACTTTAGCCTGTTTGCCTCCGTTTCCCCATCTGTAAAATGAGTCAGAGAAACCACTCTAGTATCTTTCCCAAGAAAACCCCAAATGAGGTCACAAAGAGACAGACACAACTGAACACCACCACCAATGACATACTAACAGAGAAAAAGAGCTGTTTCTGATACTCCATCCCTAACCTCTACTTTAAAACCTCATATCTCTTGCATTTGCTTCTATGCCAGCCAGGTGGCACAGCGAATAGAGTACCTGTCCTGGAGTTAGAAAAACCTGAGTTCAAATCCAGCCTTAGATATGTATTAACTAAGTGACCCTGGGCAAGTCATTTCATGTCCATATGCCTCCGTTTCTTTAACTGTAAAATGATAATACTAGCACCAACCTCTCTGGGTTGTTGTGAGGATCAAATGAGTAGATGCTTAATAAATGTTTGTTCCCTTCCCTTCCTCCTTTTAGGCCCTTCTCATTTTGGGACAAGAATACGTGCTTCTACTCTTTTCCTTTCAAGATGCATATGAGATTCTCCATGCCTGGTCAAATCACCAACATCATGGTATCAGTGAAAAAGACTTGGGTAATGCACCTTTGAAGTACTGGGGTTATTCATTTGCCCAGTATTGGCTGGTAATGGCCATCCCACAGATACACAAGGGTGGCATTTGGTTTTTGAGATATTCCAGGTGAGGTGGCCTCTTCCATGCGCAGGACCTGTTATATCTCTCTTGCTATTATTCCATAATAACCTTAACTCAAAGGAGATGTAGAAGGGATGGAGGATGAGGAGAGTAATTATAAAAGGAAATAACTGAACAGTTAAGGATATAGGAGTTAGATACTTAGGGCTACTTAGATCAGTGGTATCAAGCTCAAATAGGAACAAGAGGCCACTAAACTATGCATAAGGATCCCTGGGAATCCTTGACTCAGACAACTACACATTAACATTATTTGTGTCCTATTGTATTTGTACTTATTTTGTGAAATGTTTCTCAACTGCATTTTAATCTGTTCCCCACGGCCACCACTGGGAAGTGCTGCACATTTGACACCTCGGATCTGGAGGAGTGACCTGCTCCCAAGGTAGCCCACCCTATTTTGGTTAGAATTCATGAATCTTTACCTTGGGTTGTAAAGTTCTTGGATCCTCTATGTATTCCCAATTCTTTCCATTCAAACTGTACGACACTTTGAACTTGCGCACAAAAGCTCGGGCCTCCACTGCAGTGATGGTGTCCCCACCTCGAGCTCCCTGGATGATCACTCCTTTCACTGTCTTGGGCACTCCCAGATCCACCTGCAGCCACTCTTCCCCAGGCTGAGCCTGGGGAATGCGAGGGAACCAGCCCGAGCGGCTGCTCACCAGGCGGGCCACACTTGGACTCCAGAGGTATTCGCGAGTGGATGAGGCTGTGATCTGGGAGTCTGCGATCAGGCCAGAGAGCATTCCCAACATATTCGAGCAGGGCGCATCTGCAGAGAGAGTGGAGAATGAGAAAAATACAAAATGCCATATGCTTGAGTCATTGTTGACATCCCTCAGGCAGAGCAACATTCCACAGTGTATATGTATAAAGGGACCAAGACAGAGCAAAGGAGTAGATGAAGCGCTGGGCTGACAGTCAGAAAGAAGAAGGTTCAAATCCTACCCTCCGACACTAGCTAACTCTGTGACCAAGGGTAAAGAACTTAGCCCTGGTTTCTTGGACATAAAATGAAGGGGTTTGACTAGATGCTAGCCTCTGAAGCTGCTTCTAATTCTAAATCAGTGATGCTGTGAAATATGTTTTCCTATACCAGTACAATAGGAGAGCAAAGGTTTGATGTAATCAAAAGAGCATTGGATCTAGTCTCAGGAGATCTGTGTTCAAATCTCACCTCCTACATTTACTGGGCCATCTGACTCGGGGCAAGTCATTAAAAAAAATCTCTCTAAGCCTCAGTTTCCCCATCTGTAAAAGAAGGATAATTATATATGTACTCACAGAATTGTGAGAAAAAAATTTTGTTAATTATAATGCATTATGTAAATGTATATGTTGTTTATTACTGTTGTTGTTTTTGTCATTGTCGTCATCATGCATGGTCACTCAGGAGTGTATCACTTTAGACTGCGCCAGCCCACACTGATCTCACCCTCCTCTGAAATCCTATGCACTTATCATCAGCACAATACAGTTCAGCCCTTCATTGTCCTCTGCTTCAAAAACTGTTGACTGAATGCTTTAGAATTATAATGACCATTGGCCCCAAGTAAGAGGGATGAGAAGGTGCCCAGGTGCGAGAGTGAGCATGGAATACTTCAAATCATGGCTGATATTGTGAATGTGCATTGTTTTGCTGTATTTTTGTTTTATTCTTCATTATAAGGGATCACTCACTGGAGACGAGGGGAGGAACCCGTCAAGAAAGGTAGGTGATGGAAAACCAAAAAGAATCTATAAAACTATATTTTTAAAACTATTCTGAAAAAAAACCCTGTTCTGTTTCATGTGCATTGGTTGTCTTTCCTTTGAGTATCTTAGCTGTATAAAGGAAAGCATCTTTTCAATCTCTTTGGCATCACCCCCTACCACTACTACCACCACCATTATCCAACATAGGGCTTGGCTCACAGTAGGCAACTAACCAATCCTGGCTGTTGGACTCACATTACAACAACTTCTCTCAGGTCCAAAAATGTAAACATGAGGTCCTCAACCCTTCCCTCATTTCCTGACAGGCTGGTTCTTGTTCAGCTGTGTGCCCCTCATTCAAGCCTACTGGTTACAAATTACCTGTGAGGTAACTGAGTCCTGGATACCAAATTTCTCACATGAATATGGGATGAATAAACGTTCACAAAAGAGTGCCAGTGTAGAAGTGTGTGATGCTGTCGCTACTATGGACCAAGGATGAATGACTGTCATGAAGAAAGAGAAAAATGCTCTGCGTGTGTGTATGTGTGTGTGTGTGTTAGATAGAGGAGGACTAAAACCCCAAACACTGCGGTAGGGATCACAGGTCCATAATTTAGAGCTGGAAAGGGACCATGGAGCTTATCTTGTCCCATCTTTCATTTTTTATAGATGACTTTATAGATGAGGAAACTGAGGCCCAGAAGGGATTAGCAACTTAGCCAAAGTCACACTGGCAGAAGAGGCAGAATCAGGATTTGAATCCAAGACCTCCGACTCAACTGCACTTTGATGCTTCTCAGCGGAAAGGCATTGTATGGATGGAGCTGACATGACATGAGGACAGGTATTTGGACTGACCTACCAGTGAGACAACACAGATTAAGGCTCCACCCCCAAGCTCTAGGTAACCTTAGGATGCAACAAAGTGCAGAAGCATCCACCAAAGTACCATTTCCTTCTTTTATGAAGAAAGGCTGTAGGAGAAGGGAGAAAGGGAACTCTCTGCCCAGTAGATCGTAGTACCAAGGGGCTTGGCCAGGATTTTCAGACTAGGACCCAGAAAAGGTGAGAGAGGTCACTGACTCGCTGAGCCCTCTGGGAGGAAGCCAAGCTGTTCTCACCACATAGCTGAATGGCTTGACTCTGTCGCCTCACTTGGGCCAAGAGCTGAACAAAGGAAGAGGAACAGAGGAGATGGGGCAAAGTAGGCTGATCTCACCTGTAATCCTGCAACCAAAGAGCTCGAGCCTCAGGGCGATGCCTGTGTGCCAGGTCTGAGGGCGGATTCTGATAAACCGAGTCAGCACTGGAGTATGAATCTTGTTCAAAACCACTTCTGTGGCATCATTGTTGGCTTGAAATACCTATAACATGAAACCAAGATGTGCTATTCAAACCTATTTTTTTAGCTTAGCCATACACTTGCTACTTTTGTGACCTTAGGTCACTTAATTTCCTTGGGTCTTAGTTTTCGTCTCAGCAAAATGGGGAGCGGGGGATGGGGTTGTACTAGCAGGCCTCTGAGCCCCCTTCTAGCTCTTGACCTATGATTCTATGGATCTGAAAAAGTTCTGCTGAGCTTTGCTTCTCATAAACCCCAAACATCATAAGTGTTTCTTCTCTACCATGAAAAAATTCCTATTTTTCATTACTTCTCTAACTTTAAAACAATAAATGTTTTTCACTAAAAACTTTCAGAGAGGAAAATTTTGCCCCTGGGCCAAGAAGGTTTAGCTCAAAAGTGAAGCATTTTAGAAACCATAAGCAAATGAAAATGAGGACTTGAAAGGCAGAAATACCCAGAAAACTGATAAATACGCAATGTTCTGCCTTTCAAGGACAGCAGACTTTGTCCACTTACCTAAATTGGAAATTAGCTTTTTGGTATGCAAGCAGATACATACATACACACCACACACACACACACACACACACACACACACACACACATACACAAAGATACAAACATATAAGAATGTGGACATACACTTTTAGAGACACATGCATATAGATATACTCACATACAGATACTGATGCACAAATACAGAGTTAGTGGCACAAATACAAAGAGCTAGACATATACAAATGCTCATGAAGATACAATCACACTTTTATAGACCCAAAGGTAAAGATATACACATGGATGCTGAAACACATAAACACTGAGACACAGATACAAACACACATAGATATAGATACATACAAACTCATAGATAGGAACACATAGAGACACATGAACACATAGAGATACATACCAACATAGACACACAGAGATACCCAAAAACACATAGATAAAAACACCCACAAACCCACAGAAATATACCCACAAACTTTTTCAGACATACACACAGATATAGATATAGACATATGGATACGGATGCACACACAAACACACAGCTACAGATGCAAACGCATACACAAATTCATGTAGATATGTGCCAACACGCAGAGCAGACACATCTACATGTCTGGCATCCTAAAGAATTAACGTAGCACTTCATCACTGTGAGGTTCTATCCAATCACCTCTATCAGTTACATACATATTTCCCCAGCTCTCACACAAATTCATGGGTGTGAGGATGGAGTCCTGTCTCAGCACTCCCCACCCTCTGTCAGTCAGCACATTTTACAGTGTTGTTGGTCTTTGTTTTACAGTCAGATGTCCACGCGACCCCTCAGAGCCCAGCTTCCTTCTAGAGAAGTCACCTCTAGGTAATGAAATCCATCCCTATCGCCATCTGACCAATATGCATCTTATGGGAGGAAAGGCTTTTTGGGGCAGCTTTTGATTCAACATGGTAGAAGCCAGCTCCTAACTTACCAGATGGCCAGAATCAATAACTACCATATGGACCGTATGTTTTTTCTGTGTGTGTGTGTGTGCTCTCTTGTGTTTTTTTTTTTAACTAACTGGGGTAAGTATACTTATGTTTCTGTCTTGGTTTTCAGGGCTTCGGGGTAGAGAAAGCAAAAAAACAACAACAAAACCCCTACCTAAATCTGAGCGCCAAACTATGCAATTTGTGTGTTGTTTTAAATGTGTTCTCCATATCCCACAATGATCAGCACTGGGGATGCTTAAGTCATTTCTTTTAGGAGAGGAAAAGCTGGATGTTCTAATTTCTGTTTCTTCGAATATGACAGGCTTCCAGGGCATAGATGGGGCTGGAGCATAATTTGTTTCAAGCTAGTGGTTTCCTAGACACTGAGGATAGTTACCTGGCTCACACTGATTGCTTGAACCTTACAGAGCTGCTAGTCACTGAAACCTTAGTGTCGCTGGGTAGGAATGGTTTTAGTGAAAGTAGGGGGCATATCAGGTAACTGACTGGCAGTCTGTCCCTAGCAAGGGGTAATAATTGAGCCTGAAGAGAGCCTTGGGTTACAGTGAAAACAGGAAGAACAGAAGTTAAAATTAAGCTTTTCTCTGGCTAATCCACTTATACCTAACAATACAGTATTTCCTGACAAGTACACTTGGAAATGCGTCATTTTGTAAAATACTCATGACTTGCTATTTGGCAAAGTCAGAACTAAAGTTATAGTTATTGTAAAAGTTACCTGCTGTGGGGTATGTGTGTATGTGGAATATGAAAATAAATAAAACCATTCTCCCATAGATAAATGGTCAAAGAATAGGAATAGTAGTGTTCACAAGAGAAAATGAAAACCATCAACCACTATATAAAGATGCTTTAAATCAATAATGAGAAACACAAATTAGAACAACTCTAAGGCTTTACCTCCCACCTATCAGATTGGTGAAGATGCAAAAGACAAGAATGGTAACTGTTGAAGAAGCTTGGGAAAACAGACATACTTGTGTACTTGTGTGTGTACAAATAGATTGCTCTGGGAAACAATTTGGAGCCATACTGGACAAGTCATTAAAACACACACCCCCTTTGACCCAGCACTACTACCACTGGACATATACTCCAAGGAGGTAGAAAGCAAAAGTAAAGATCTTATTTATACACAAATACTTATAGCCTTACTGATGGTGGTAGCAAAACCCGAAAATGATCAAATTGCAGTATATGAATAATAAAAATTTTATTGCATCAAAAGAAATAATGATTTAGAGAATTAAGAGAAATTTTGGAAGACTTGTATGAACTGATGCAGCATAAAGTCAGCAGAATCAAGAGAACAAATTAGTAACCATGATAATGTTAAGGGAAGCAACATCAATGTAACGGCCTGTCAACTTCAGAGGATTGACGATGAAATCTAATTTCCTTCTCTCAGCAGAAAGGTGGCAAACTCTAGGCATATGACATGGGATGGTTGTTGGCCATGGTCAATGTATTGGTTTGTTTTGCAAAACTATACTTTTTTGTTACAAAGGAAGAGGGGTCACTGGAAAGTGACAGCAATGCAGGAATTAAAACATCAATGGAACATTTGTTTTGTAAAAAAAGAAAAGAAAATCAATGAAGTTTTTCCTACTTTATAGACAGGGAAAATGGAACACAGGGAACTGACTTTCTCAAAATGAATAAAAGGTGGGGTAAAAAGGAAAACCTTTAGCTCCCTCTTCCTAGCATCCCCCAAACCCCTCCTCTATTCTCACAAGGGTCCTGACCTTCTACCTCTCTACAGTACTGCTACTCTCTGGTCTCCTCTTCCAAATGTTGATTTCATTGTCTTCCTACTAATGGTAGAAAGGGAAGATAAGGGAAGATAGGGACAGGAGAAGGGGACTATACAGGAGCTCCCCCCTATAGGATGGAATGAGGAAGGGGGAAGCCTGGAGTGACAGTTCAGGGTATTCTCTAAATTCTCAATAACTAATCATGATTAGATGATGAAGGGAGAGATGATGCAGCCAGAGAAAGCCCTGGCCCTCACCATCACCCTGCTTTCACATCTGTATTGGCTAGTGCACATTACAGCTTTCAGAAGGATGAAGGAATTTTGCCTGCAGACAAGAGGCATTAATGCAGCTCTCCTAGAATCCAAGTTGCTGAGGCAGAGATATTCTTTTTTTTTCTTTTTTGGCAAGGAAGGGATGAATTCAGTACTGTATCCCCAAAGGGTGCTGTCAGCAGCCAGTGCTACCACTGCGCCCTGATCCCTAAAGATGTTGGGCTGGGTGCTGGTCTCTATGTGAGACCTTCATTAACTTGGTGCTAAGTAGCCTCAGAAAGAAAAAAAAAAGCTTTGTTTGCAAATGTGAGTATGTAATTGAAGTTCTGAGCAGATCTGAACTTTAACACAGCTACTAATCTGTAGCATATATATCATGCTGGTACTGTTTAGAAACACAGCATGGCTTATGTGTTTTTAATATCCTATTTTATCCTATTTGACCCCCCTCCTTTGGCAGTCTTGGCAGCTAACGCCAAACGCCATTCTCCTACCCACCTTCCTCAAAGCTCCTTAAGTGAGGGAATGATTGCTGCTTTGGACTGCATTACATAGTTGCAGTATGTATGTGTATATGTTTGTGTCTGGCCAGGGTGGAAGATGGGTATATGTGTACAAATATGCCTGTACATTTCAGTGTTGGCCTGTGAGAATGGTGAATGTGGACATGTGTGTTTTCGGTGTAGGGTTACTTCTGGAGAATATCTATGGCTATTAGGTTGACCCTATATGCATCAGGAAATGGTAAGATGACAAGCAACATGGCCTAGTGAATAGAGGGTTAGTCTTAGAAATCAGGATGGTCTGGGTTCAGATTCTACTGCTGCTAGTAGCCATATGATCATAAACAAATTCCTTAACCAATTTCAGTGCCTGCATATAACTCAGTTCCTAAGACTCGAGGTTAGACAAGTGGCTGATCTGCTTTGGTGGAGGGAGTTTACACACTGGGAACTCCCTATGTTGAGGAAATCATAGGAAGAAAGGAAAGAAGGAAGGAAGATTGAAAGAGACTTGGACTTGTCCTAACATCTCAAGATCATGGATTGAAAGCTAAAAGGGACCCATTCATTTTGCAGCTAAGAAAACTGAGGCATAGAAAGGTTAAATGACTTATTACCCAGGATCATACAGCTATAGTCTGACCTGGGATTTGAACCCAGGTCTTTCTGCCTCCAAGTGCAGTGCCCTATCAAATACAGAAGCTTGGCTAATCTGAGCCACTGGAGTTTGTCTTAATACTTTTCCCCCCCACTAAATATTCTTCTACTTTAGACCCAAATCTAAAGGTGTTTTAAACCTCTTTAGCAGCTGCATTTCTCTGAACTCCCTAGCCTCTTTTGTTTTTCCCCCAGCTCCTTCACAGTTTTGTATTTACTTTTGGTTTCTTCGAGCTTAGATCTGTCCTCTGCTCTACAAGCCAACCACTGGTGCTGACTCTCACTTCATTAAACCTTTCCACAACCCTCGGAGTTCCAGCCCTCTGCTTT